GGATATCTAAGAAGACAAATAAATTTTGTTAAGAAAGGAAATTGTTGGTTTTCCCAAACAACGTCATAGCAAATAACAGAATAGAAAACCCAATCCATAGCCAAATCATTTTTAGGATGTCTTTTGTGCTTATAGGTGACAAATAAGTGCAACCCAAACAAAGGCCAAGTGATAAAATGAGCAAGACTCTCTTCTCACAAAAATTGCAAAGAAATAAATAAATACAACAAATATCTGCATGTAATGTTTAATATAAACTGAAATACGATACTATAAATTCAAATAAAATATTTAGGCTGCTAATCACATAAATCCTCCTTTTGAATTGCCATTAATAAGAAATAGAAACAAAACTGCCCATGAACTTTACATACAACAAGATGACCATCATAGAAATGATCCATTTAATAACCCATATGAATAAAATTGACACCTAACATTTATGTGCATGTGTTAAGTATAAATGATACACTTTCTTTTAATCCTTGTTTTGCTAATCAATTGAGCTATTTCAGAGTTATTTATTTCATCGACCTTAATTTACTTCATGTTGGACAACCTTGCTGAAAGCCAGAAACAAAAGGTGCATCCATCTTCAGCTTAAACGAGCAAAAAATTAAACAAATACCCCAACGCCAAAAAAAATAAATTGTAAAGAAAGAAACTGTGATTTTATATGATCTTGCAAAAATGGAAAGCATTTTCAAACCCAGAAGCATGCATAAAACATTACCTGGCTTTAAGAAGCAAAAGAATAGTAAATACTTCGAGACTGTTATAACCTCGATCAACAAAATCACCCTGACAATGAATGATCAATGATAATGTTAACCACCGCATGGAATCAGCAAGTGACTGCGTCATAAATTGTCCAGAAAGTATAAAACATACCATGAAGATATAATTTGTCTCTGGTACATGACCTCCAGTCTGAAAAAGTTTCATCAGGTCATGGAACTGACCGTGAATGTCACCACAGACCGTTACAGGACTGTTGACAGGTTGCACATTAGATTCTTCAATGAGGATCTCTTTTACCTGTTATGCAGAAAGTAAGCAGCCATAACAGGAAAACTTAGTATCGAAAATTGCTAACACGAATGCACACACACATACAGATATTGCCAATGAGGGTCCTATAGAAATACATAATAAGGCAGACAACGTCCAATGAAAATCTTTCAAGATTCAACCGACAAAATCGTTTATAATACAAAGCGAGTGAACGTATCACACATCCTCGTCGATATACACGAAGCACAAACACCATGTTGCAAATTTCCAATCAGAATTTCACGTCTAAACCTCCAACTGATCTCTGAGAACACAACCAACAACCTCGACATCCATTTCTCCAAAACTTCATTGAAGTACAAACCGGTGAGCTACGCGAGAGATTCAAACTAAAAGCTGTATAAACTAAAAATTCCATCCACAGAACACAAAGCATAACCCCCGGTAGTAGAAGCAAAAGCCGCAGCATCAATGAAGATACGCAAGGGGTTTACTACACACACGAGGTTCCAAAATGTATCAACCCTAACTATCCTCAAATACATAAGGTTTTCAAGATTAATCGCAAACAAAAAGAAAACCAGGTTGTGGTTGGGATTAAGAACAAGAAAACCTTACATATTCGCAAAGAAGTTGAAGTTCATCTTCAAGAAGATGCTGGCCTTCCTTGACCTTAACGATCCACTGGTCCAAATCCATGTCTCTGTTCCTCGGATTGCCAGCAACAGAAGAGTGAAAATGGCGCGAGAAGAACAAAACAATCCAAGAGAGAGAAGAAGAAGAACAACAAGAACAAGAACTCCGATTGAAATTGAAAATTTCAGTGGAACGAGCCGACGCTGACCAGACAGATCTATCCCACTCTTCGTCCGCGCCCTTCGGTTAATTTCTTAACAAAAGAACTTTGTTCTATAAATAAATTTTTTAAAATATATATTAACAAATAAATAAATAATAATATTATGATTCAATCAACATCGTATATTATATAGTCGTATGACTTTTTAACATTTTTATTACAATTTAACGTAATTTAATATAATATTTATTCAATAAAAATAACTAAATTTAAATGTTTTTTTTTTATTTTAATTTTTAACATTTTAACGTAATCGAATATAATATTTACGGAATTAAATATAATTTCTAAACTTTAATACTTCTAAAGTAAATTCAAATGTGTTTTTTTTTTAATTTTTAACATTTTTATTACATTCATATAATTTGTGAATATAATATTTACTAAATTAAATATAATTTTTAATCTTTAATAACTACAACATAAACTCAAATGTTTTTTTAATTTGAATTTTTAATATTTTTATTACATTTCTGTAATTTGAATAACACAATTTAGTGTCACGGAATATAATATTTATTGAATTAAATATAAATTTTAAACTTTAATAATTATAACATAAATTCAAATGTTTTTTTATTTAATTTTTAACATTTTTATCACATTTGAATTAAATTGAATATAATATTTACTGAATTAAATACAATTTTTAAACTTTAATAATTATATATTTTTTATTTGAATTTTTAACATTTTTATTACATTCCTATAATTTGAATAACATAATTTAACGTAACTAATATACTATTTATTGAATTAAATATAATTTTTAAACTTTAATAATTATAACATAAATTCAATTTTTTTTTTAATTTTTAACTTTTTTATTATATTCCAATAATTTGAATAATGCAATTTTACGCGACTAAATATAATATTTATTGAATTAAATTTAAGATACTATGGATAAAAAACACAATATTATTCCGAAAATGACAACATATTACACGTTATCATGCAATAAAAATAATATATTATACGATTCGTGCAGTTATTTATTAAAAGCTTGTCGAGTTGTGTCATCGTTTACTGTCAATCTATCTTTTGTTTGTGCACGATCTTTTATTACAACGTTTGTCTTAACTGTTGTTTAATAAATACGTCACATGATGTCATGTGTACGTGTTGAGACATCCACGTGCCACCAACAATTCTAGTCAAAGAATATCGAGTTAGTATTTGACTATTTTTGTGATTGGGTATTTACAAGGTACTGAAGGCGACGGGACAACATAACAGAGAAAAAAATTGCTCTATCCTCCTTTCGAGAGCTCGGAACAATCGTCAAAATCTAAACAAGTAAAAATAATTATTGATCGAGATTACGACCAAATAATTGTTAATCGAGATTACTACGAGGTGGTCATGCATGATGATCATTAGACGTTACTTCAAAATTTATTTACAAAAAATTATTTTATAATATAAATATTAAATTAAAAAAAAATATCGTACATCTAACCGTGTAAAATTTTACGACTAACATTGAGTTAATTTCCGTCATTTATATTTTTATTTTCTCTATCCTCCAAAAACCGGTTTTTTAAAGCCGGTTGTTCGATCCAATTGGACCGGGCTTAACGGGAACCGACCCGTTGGATTATCTGAAATTCATGATCGCCGAGGCAGAGGGAGAGCGCGCGAGAAATTTTAGTTGAGAAGCTTCACGGCGTTCTCCGTTCAGCAGGAAAAGGGGCGAAGACTTGAAACGCTAGGGTTTGGAGGAAGTGCGAAAGTTCTACAAGTTTTGAATTCGAATAGGGTTTGGAGGAAGTGCGGAAGTTCTACAAGTTTTGAATTCGATTAGGGTTTGGAGGAAGTGCGAAAGTTCTACAAGTTTTAAATTCGATTAGGGTTTGGCAACGTATCAGTCTTTTAAGAATTTTACCTTCCGTTTTTTTTTCCCCACTGGACATCAAGATCATCCAAAAGTTCTGTCCAGGTTAGCCTCTTCTTAATTTTTCACTTTTGTTCTCGAAGAATTACGTATTACGCGATTATTGTATTTTGAATTTGGTTTATTTCGTGATACATGCCAAAACTTTGGCTTTAGTATGAACAACTCTGAGATGCGAAGTTAATCAGATAGTGTAGCTAGGAGAGATGGCAGTGAGTGTGAAGATCATTAGCGAGGAAAAGATCAGACCTTCCTCTCCAACGCCGGAAACCCAAAAACATCTGAAATTCTCCTTCTTAGATCAGCTAGCTCTGCCTGTTTATGTACCCGTCTTTCTTTTCTACGCTCCAGGCGGCGATGACAATCAAACATCCAAGTCCGGCGCCTGAAAGCTTCCTTATCCAAGGCATTAGCCCAATACTATCCATTCGCTGGCCTGAGTTCAAGACAATAATGTTTCAATCCCCTGCCACGGCAATGGCAGTCCAGGTGTTGATGAACGAGCTAATCGATGAGGCGTCGGTGATTTTGTGGGACATGAGCAAGCCAATTGTCATGCCACTGCATTGGAACGACGTGGTTTGGACAAGCAGAATGCAGGCTTTGGCAGAGTCGGAGGATGCGATGGAGAAGGGGAGGAATTGGTTGAGTGAGTGACATTGAGTTGATTGAGTACATCAGAGAGACGGCAGTTGACTTGGGCTTCCACATAGATGGCTCCCTGGTCGTTGCAATGGATTGAAACATTATTGTCTTGAACTCGGCCAGCGAATGGATAGTATTGGGCTAATGCCTTGGATAAGGAAGCTTTCAGGTGGCGGGACTTGGATGTTTGATTGTCATCGCCCCCTGGAGCGTAGAAAAGAAGGACGGGTACATAAACAGGCAGAGCTAGCTGATCTAAGAAGGAGAATTTCAGATGTTTTTGGGTTTCCAGCGTTGGAGACCAGAAGGTCTGATCTTTTCCTCGCTAATGATCTTCACATTCACTGCCATCTCTCCTAGCTGCACTATCTGATTAACTTCACATCTCAGAGTTGTTCATATTGAAGCCAAAGTTTTGGCATGTATCACGTGTGTCCCCACCCAAAAATCTTACCTTTTTTTTTTTATTTTTTTATTTTTAAACGTAATTCATGTAGTAATCTTTGGACCTGCGTATATTTGTATTGATTGATTTCGAAGTATGGCCGTCAGTTTAAATGTAAAGAGCTTGATGCGAAGTATGGCTAAAGAACAGGAGTTTTGAATTTATAGACTCGTCTATTTGGTAGGATTGTGCACGGACTACTTCTGACTAGATATTTGATAAATTCAGGAGCTAGTCCATTTTCAAATAGATATTATGAGTTTTTGATAAGTAACATTTCTATCTATCTCATCGAAGTGGTGCTCTATATTGGGGAAGACATACAACATACAACTCAGACACATGGTCAATAGTTAAATATCATTATTACACTGGTTGGTTTTTTGTCGACTACAAAAGCACGTTCTCATGACTTCTGATTTTTTTGGTTCTGTTGGATTTGAGAACATTACAATGTACGTGGGTGAGGGAATTCGACCGGATGACCTCTTATAAGATTGATTTAATTGTTGGGCCATGCCCCACGTTGGAACTTTTGTTACATTTAATGTTGGTACGAGGTTTAACAAATGTACTCAAAGCTCTTTTATGGGATCATTGATCTAAGGAATTTATGAACCATCGTGGGGCCAAGGTTGGACTAGTGGTCACATGGGCAAAATAAGATGGAATGAGTTCAATCTATGGTGGCCACCTACCTAGGATTTAATATCCTATGAGTTTTCATGTCAACCAAATGTAGTTAGGTAGACAATTGTTCGGTGAAATTTGTCGAGGTGCACACAAACTAACTCGGACACAAAAAAAAAAAGATCCAAGGAATTTATAATTACAGTACGTCCTTTATTCTTGCCAATTGGGATACAGGTGCTTTTTTTTTCATCTATTGTATTTTGATGAAAATAGGGGCAAGAAAGCTCTATGGAAAAAAGATGGTTAAATTCGTTTGTATTTGTAGGTAGTGATCAAACAAACAAAACGAAAGAAACCTCATTTCTTTAGATCAAAACGAAACCTTAGTAATTTCCAATTACTCTTTAATCAAGGGATTTACTTATTTTAGACTTCAATTTGAGGCGAATTCAGAATTGTTCTAATTTTATAATCATCAACTACTATAGAGATGTCTCCTACGTTACCCGTAATATGTGGAAGTATCGACGTAATTTCATAGAGTCATTCGGTCTGAATGCTACATGAAGAACATAAGCCAGATGAAGGAACGGGAAGACCTAGGATGTAGAAGATCATAACATGAGTGATTCGGCGGATTTGGATTCCTATATATCCACTCATGTGGTACTTCATTGGACGATATATATAAGATCCATCCAATCCGTAGGAATCAATAGAAAAGGCAAATCCCTTATGATACACCAGATCCGGCTCGGTTATTGATAGAGTGAATAGATCTGCCATTTCTTGAAGTCGGAAAGGAAATGGCCGGTATAGCTCAATTGGTAGAGCAAAGGACTGAAAATCTTCCTGTTACCGGTTCAAATCCGCTATTGAAAATACGTCTAATGTGTCGGAAAGGAAATGGCCGGTATAGCTCAGTTAGTAGAGCAGAGGACTGAAAATTTTCCTGTTACCGGTTCAAATCTGCTATGAAAATAAATAAAGATAATGTGTCAGAAATGGCCGGTATAGCTCAGTTAGTAGAGCAGAGGACTATAATCTTTGGCTTTTAGGGAGATTACTCTTTTTTCTCCTCATTCAAACATTTGTTAACGTAAAACCTTTCATTTTGGATTTCACAATTCATTCACAGGAAGACCCTAAATTTTTACATGCCATCATTTTACTTTGGGATGATGATGTCTTTGATCATGGTGTCACAGGAGGAAGGATGGATTTGGAGTCAGGCTCAGGGGGGTCTGTTTCTGCTACAGCCATCGATTCCTCGAACATAGGGTTTCAGGTTTTCTCTCTCTTTGACTCACTGTTACGTATATGAATTTCTAAATCATGCTTAGATTCTATTCCCCATTTTATACCTCTTCATTTTTCTATTGATGTTATTCCGTCCAATCTTTGAGCTTCAATTTGTATACTGACTTCTCTTTGTGTTGTTTTTGTTGTCTTTCTTGAAGCTTTTGAAGAAGCATGGTTGGAGGGAAGGAACAGGCCTTGGAATTTCCGAGCAGGTTATTTCGCTTATAGTTTTCACGCTTTATCATATACTCTAAATAAAATTAGTCATTGTTCAATAATTTTAAAACTAGTTGTACTGCAATTGTTTGATTAGAAACAATACTTAACCCGTACATTTGCGATATATTTTCACTACATACTTAACGAAACTGGAAATTAGACCTTTGATGTTCCGTCGCAACATAACTTTATACAACTAACAAAATTTTAATGCGTTAATATGGGCATATCTAAGCTAATAATGAGTAGGCTTATATATGGGGATAAAAGGAAAGAAAGGAGAGAGTGGATTCTCAAACAAAGATAAATGTCTAGTAACTTCAGAAGTTTTTCTATTTTATGATGATTTTATAAAATATTTGTGAGTGTCCGTGCTAACTGTTCTTCACAGGACAACCGTCTGACCCTATTACTTTTGGTTAGATAACTCGTAGGATACTAAATCTTTGGGGTGCCTACCATGACTTAACTCATTCTCTCTAAGTCCTTTATTAGACTTCGAAAAAATTATAACATGAGAATTTCATGCAGTGTAGCAAGTAAGTTTGCGTTTGATAATCGAAGATGATGTTTAGGCAGTGGCAACCTCTGCTTCACTTTTGCTATTAGGGAATGGTCGAGGTGGGGAAATCCCCGATTTGACTAGGATATGGTTGACCAAGGAATTTTTCCATTGGGAAAACCGATATCGTCTGGGAAATTCTTGAACCTGTCAGTTTCTTAAAAAAATGTTGATTACTGAAATCTGTCTGCTAAAATTTCATGTGTGTATGTGTATATATATGTATATATGTTTGCTGATTATAAAAGAATTTAATCTGAAAACCTACCAGAGAACTCTCATGGCAGAAAAATTTGATCCCCATGTGGGAAGTCCATGAACCTCCTCCATTTCTCAATATATGGATAAAGGGGTGGGGATAGGAAACTAAAATTTTCTAGAGTCGGCCAGTAGAGCAGCTTCTGCTCGCTCTCCTGATAGAGTCGGTCGGGATGATTGATTCATGCTCATCCTATGCAAGGGCAGGGAAGAAGCAGCAGATTATTGCTGGTTTTGGTGCCTTATCATTTCAGAATTTTCGAATTATTCATTAGTATCTTTTCATTCGATTTTTGCACGTAGCCTTTGTGATCACCGCGCAAAAAAGAAAGGGTAAAATTTAGAGCGTTAGCGCAATCTCGTGGGAAGAAAGAATACAAGAACTTTCCTAGAGAGTAGCATTATATGGATATCATATTGGATATTAGAGTCCTTGTATCTTCCTCTTGATGTACACTCCACGCCATCAAGAATTTACCGAGTATAGTCTTTTCGTCTACGTCCTAAATGTATTATTTGAATTCCCTCGTTTTTATCGTCCTAAGACATTCGTTTTATATATTTGTTTATTTGTAAAGGGGTTCTTTTTTCCTCTTATCATGTAACTGGGTCATTGTAGTGCCCTCCTGTTTACTCCTGGAAATTAACTGTTTGACCTCTCGTGCAAGCAGGGTAGGTTGGAACCTGTACAGACATCTGTAAAGAATAATAAACGTGGCCTGGGAGCAGATAAAGTGAAGAAGAAGCTTAAAGAAACTACTGATATTGCAGCCTCTGATACGAAAAACCAGGTAAAACTTCTGTTATATGAAGTTCTCTGCAAGTTCTTGATCGCCATCGTCGATTTCCTAGGTGTAGTTTAGACGGGAAAGGATCTCGAAAAAATAGGAGCTTATGAAAATACCTTCCAATTAGATTTAATTTCAAGAGTCTAATTACGAAAAGAGTTATGTAGGGAGCACCATGAAGAACTGTAGCAGTTAGTCTTCTTTACAGTTGATCCGACTTTGGGTTACTCGTCTCGTAATTCCTCTCCTATCGAATCCCCTAAGACAAGACTCTATTTATAGGTAGTGTTTTTTTTGCCTTCTCTAAACATTGACCACATAACAGCTTAGAATATTGGTGTGAGATCCCACCTCGGTTGATGTGGGGAACGAAGCATTCCTTAAAAAGGTGTGGAAACCTCTCTTTAGCAGACGCATTTTAAAAACTTTGAGGGAAATCCCGAAAGGGAAAGCCCAAAGAGGACAATATCTGCTAGCGGTGGGCTTAGACTGTTACATTATTTGGTAGCCCCCAAAGAGTTTAACTTATTGGCTTCGGTATCATGAAAACATATTTTTGGTTAGCATAAACATTTCAGAATTATATTGGATCGCATTAATCACTTGCTTAGCATAAGTTCACGAATGGGTTAACGACACGAAGTTCGATTAAGTTTGAATGTGCTCGATGTGCGAAATTGCATTATTTTGACATGGTCATCATTTTTGCATATATAATTTGTTCATGCTACTCGTACCAAATAAAAGGAAAAGAATCATAGCTAACAAGTAATACTAATATTTTTTATCATCAGGAACGTCCTCCGTCGAAGAAAGCGAAGGCGATGTCGAAAAAGATGAGGAAGATGCTCGAGGAAGAAAGGCTATTTCGAGAGAAGGAATTCGAGAGGGCATTTTTCAGGGAATTTTGGCCAGATAATGTGTGATGTTATACATGAACTAGCACTTCCCAAATCATCATGTAAGCAAATTCAATTTCTTTGCCAAAAATCTTGTTTTAATTAGGGTTTATAGCAAGTTAGCATTCACCATGTAGTCTGTAGTTTGTAAATGTTTATGATTATTGAATTTAATTTTATAATTATCATAATGTATTATTATTCAATATATATACATTCATACATACATAAAATATTCATATTTTAAATTTTGTTTACCATTATATTTCAGTAATTTATTTGTGATGTAACGTTTCGATTTGTTTTTATTAACACGTGGAGGTGAGAGGTATAAACCGTTGACTTTTTTTTATCATGTATAGTTACGGTTTTGACTTAATTTTTTATTTCAGTCATTTCACACTTAAAATTGAATTGTTTGTTGTCGCCTCACCAAGATCTCTCCGGCGACGATGGAGGTTGTTGTAGCGGGTTGATTTTTTTCTTTCCTAATAAGAGACCTGGACGATTATCCATACCCTTCGTAGCCCTCGGGTTTCAAACCCGCTGTTCTATTTGTTGGTGTTTGGGTAAAAAAAAAAAGCTAAGATTTAACCTTCATAATTATAAAATAAAAAGTCAGAAGGTGCACAATGATATAATATTGTCCACTTTGAGCTCTTGTTTTGCTTTGGGCTTTTCGAAGGCCTTATTATAATATTGTCCACTTTGAGCTCTCGTGAGCTCTCATGGCTTTGCATTGGGCTTCTCGAAGGCCTCATTTGAATGTTTTGCTTTGGGCTTTTCGAAGGCTTTATTATAATGTTGTCCACTTTGAGCTCTCGTGGCTTTGCATTGGACTTCTTGAAGGCCTCATTTGAATGAAGATTGTCTATTTTAGGCATAAACTCTCGTAATTTTGCTTTGGGCTTCCCGAAAAGACCTCATTTAAATGGAAATAATATTCTTTACTTATAAATCCAAATTCATGTTCTTCCACTAATTAATTAGCGTGGGATTTACTCCTAATAATCTTGAACATTTTTTACCGTAGAATTAAATTATAATTATAATTTGTAATTTATTTATGTATTATTAAAATTGGGAAAAAAAAATTAAGAAGCCGCGTCAGAAACCTAGAAGACATGTCCAAAATCGTCTGCACCTTGAGGTGCGGTTGAAGACGATAAACCCCAGAGAGCGAGCGCTTCCCTCCCTCCTTCACCAATGGCTTCCCTCACTTCCTCTTGCTGTTGCTGTTCCTATGCTTCTCAATTGCTTCCTCGCTCTTCCAAATCTCCATTTTCACCATGTCCTTCTCCTTTCTCTCCGTTCAACTTCTCGAAGCGCGCAAAACTTCTCTTAGCAGCGGCGAAGAAGAAGGAATCCGATGCAGTTCCTGTAGCGAAGAAGGAATCTACGGATTCCAAGGAAGAGGAATTCGTAGAGGTGGAAGAAGAGCTGCCATGGTATCAGGAGAAGGCATTGGACCTCGTGGAATTCACTGGCTCTGTCACTCAGGCACTTCCTGGCCCTAGGGTTGGCCAGAGCTCGTTGCCTTGGCTCCTTGCTGTTCCTCTTGCGTATTTGGGCGTCACTTTTGTTATCGCTTTCGTTAAGACTGTTCGGAAATTCAATTCCCCTAAAGAAAAACGCCGGAGACAGGTCTTCTTCCTCTCACTTGCTTTACAAATTACTACTTCCCTGTGCAACTTTGTGTTAAGAAAGACATTAGGTTCTTGCTTGAAATAGCAATTTAGTTCTTGTAGTATGAAATTTGGGATGATTATAATTTGAATTTATTAATGATTTAGCATATACTATGAAAAAATACATCAAAAGTGAAGTATTGGATCTCAGTATTTATTGATATAGTCCATAAAATTTTACAGCACATTTTGTCTTTGAGCAATTTATCAATGTGCCTACATCTACATCACACAGATTTTTCATATAGAATTTCATGGTAGGAACTAAATTATAAAAATTTTGAAGGATAGGAGGTAAATTTACTTAAATTTAAGAACTAAATTTTTACGAACTTGAAGCTAAAAAGCTAAATCGTTATGAAGGATAGAATAGGATGTGTACCTGAAGATAGTTATACCGGAGTTGTTCGACCGAGACCGAGATAGAGATGGGTGAGATCGGGGTTTAGTTCTAGTGGCTTGTGGAAGCTATTAGCTATATTTGAATTACGGTTTACACTGATCGTGGTTGATATTTCTCAGGTCTCAAAAAATGCCATTCTCTGCTTGTCAGTAGATGAGTTGCTTGAGAAAGGAAGGGATGAAATAAAGCCGGAGGCTCTTGCTGAAATTGTGCAAAAGGTTAGATATGTTATATTTTTTTAATTCTTTTATAGAGTTGAAGCTGTCCTTCTTAATGGGAAGTGATGATTCTTGTCATCAACTGAATCTGATGCTAATATCTTGAGTTCTTCAAATAACGTCGCAATTTCAGTTAAACGTATTATATTCTTCCAACAAAGTGAGGCGGAATCCTTGAACTAAAGAAACTTACAAAAACTTTGTTAGACCTGAGTAAGGCCAAAAGGGAAGTATGTTTGAATGGAGCCAACAAGAACTACCATATGAAAAATAATTTACACAAGCTCTATGAGTATTATCGAAAGCTTTTCTATTCTGTTCTTCCCTATTGTCTCATAGATCCAATTGAGCCAGATTTTACCGAAGGATCTAAGTCAGCTTATGAGTAACGATTAAAAATAGTTTTTAGCAGACCACATCATGCTAGACAATTCACATTATGAGTTGTAATAACTTCTAATCTCCTCTCCAGACAGGTTTCAGTGTGGGCGAAATTTTGCGAAAGTATATACGTTATGCATTGAATGAGAAACCTTTCAACCCTGAATTAGTTGCCAACCTAATTCAGCTGAGAAAAGCTTCTGCATTGGAGGACACTCAGGTTGCAGAAATTCTGAATGAGGTATCAAGAAGGATTGAGAGAGATAAAGGTAACAGGATATTCTATGCCACTTGTACTTTTAGTTTATTGTAAGCAAGGGGGACTTTGGAAAGCACATTATACGTCCGAAAAAACAAACACAATTAGGAAATGAAAATTTGTTTGAACATGACGAAATCAACGAATTAATCGAGGTTCCTATCATGCTTCATGCTTCCCTACGTCTTCACTCGACAAAGATTTGAGAGAAAGGACTTGGTGGTAATGTAGAAGTAGTCAACTTTCTTTATATATCAGAAAGTAGTGAAACTGCCTTGAAAAACTGAGTGATTTCGCTAGGTGTCTCGGTCGTACTTATACCTCAAGTTGGCTTCAATTCACATCTCTTTGGTGTGTTAGATGATGCGTCGTCCTCCTCAATCATATCATGGCACTCGTCTGTCTTGGTGCTATGGCCGGATGGGCCACTTGAGGGTTGCTGTTTTATTTGTTTCAATACGAGGGTCACAACCTACTTTTTTTCATAGTATGGTTGTGACACAGGGCACCCTTTTATTTAAAACTCTATTGAATTGCAGCCAAGTTCTTTGATTCAGTATAAGCTCGCATTCCTGGAACTTCCCGACTGTTACTCAATAGACTGAACTATTCTACGGTAAAGTCAGCAAGTGAAGGGTTATTCTTAAAATTTTAATAAGAAAGTAAATGTATATAGGTAGGTAGTCTCTTTGGGCGAGTGTCCTTTAAATTGTTTGTTCATTATTGTTTCTTTACCACAGTTGCTTCTTCAACTATATTTTTAGCAAATATTGACAGGTAGGTGTAAGAAGAACATTCAAGCTATTCATCTTTCTGATAATTGTTCTTTATTTTTCAGGTCCAGTTGTTATGAATATGTCAGGCTATACTGAGAAGGGTTTCAAGAGAAAATTAGCCGTACAGGCCCTTTTCGGCAAAATCTTCTATCTATCTGAGGTTGGTAGGATGAACAGTAGATTGTGCAAAACTCCTGAATTTCAATTTTGTTTTCACCATTCTTCTCTTCATGTTTCAATTATGTACGATACACTTTCTCTTGATCTTTCTATCTATTTTGATTTTTCTTTAAAAGAAAAAGGTTTTTAAACCATTTTGGTCTCTAAACTTTTTAAGTTTTTTTTTTTTTTTTGGTCCCTAAACTTTCAAAATATTCGTTATGGTCCTTGAACTTTTTAAGTTTGTTGCATTTTATTCCCTAAACATTCAAAATGTCCACTTTTTTACCCTGATTTTAAAAAATAATTTTGGTCCTTACTATCTCAAACGTATATGACTTGAAATCATGCTCATATGAATATGCTAGCACCCTACACTAAAACAAAATAAAGGTAACTTTTTTACCCTGATTTTAAAAAATAATTTTGGTCCTTACTATCTCAAACGTATATGACTTGAAATCATGCTCATATGAA